ACGGTGGACATGGAGTGTGAGTGAGAAATGAAATGCTGTTGTTTTAAGCCACTGAGATTTTTGGGCTGTTCGTTGCCACCAAGAAGCCTGGCGCATCCTGGCCGACACCCTCCCACGTGGGGTTTTGGGAAAGATCAAAGGAGCTAATATGTGGAAAGCACTGAGCACATTCCCGATACAGGACGGTGTTTCTATTTTCCTCCATCTCTGTGTCGCATGGGCATCTCGATCAGCATATCCCAAACTGCGCTCGGGTGCCCACCCACCGACACCAGACCCCACTTCCTCCTGCTCTCCACGTGGTGAGGCTGCGCCACCCTCCAGTCTCTCGCACAAGCTGCCACCCGGAGAACCATCATCTGGACCATGCCCTTTCTCTCCTACATCCAGTAAATTGGCACGCCCTTCTATTCAAAGTGTGGAAAGAAAAAGACCACCAAGAACACTATAGCTGGAAAAACTGTCCTTTAAAAATTAAGGAAAGATACTTTCCCAGACAAACAAAAGCCAAGGGAGCTGGTCACCACTACCCCCGCCTTGCCAGAAGTGCTAAAGGGAGTTCTTCAAATTGAAACAAAAGGATGCTAAATAGCAACATGGTGGTTTATGAAAACATATATCTCACTGGTAAAGATAAATATATAGACACATACAGAATAATATAATATTGTAATGGTAGCATATAAATCACTTTTTACCTTAATATAAAAATTAAAAGACAAAAGCATGAGGAATAACTATAACCACAAAAATTGGTTAATGGATAAATAATATAATAATAAATAAATTCAGACATCAATAACATAAAGCGCTGGGGAGGCTGTAAAAGTGTAAAGTTTTTGCATGTGATCAAAGTGAAGTTATCAGCTCAAAACAGACTGTTATAACTATAAGAAGTTTAAGTTATACAAGATGAATAACTCCTAGAGATCTATTGTACAGCATAGTGTCTATAGTTAAAAATATTATATTGCATAATTAAAAATTTGCTCAGAGGATAGATCTACGTTAAGTGTTCATGTCACATAATAATAATAGTAAATAAATAAAGAGGGTGGGAGGAGACTTTCGGAGGTGATGGATAGGTTTATGGCATGTATTATGGTGATTGTTTCACTGGTGTGTATACTTATCTCCAGACTCATCAGGTTGTATACATTAAACATGTATAGCTTTTTGTATGACAATTAAACCTTAATAAACTGGGATAAAAATACAAAAAAACACACAAACAACAAAATGAAACAAAATCTTTGTACTTGGGGAACAAGAGGGAGGCTCTGAGGTTGCATAGGTAATGATCTCCTAAGTTTCAAACCTGGGAAGAGGACAAACACCAAGGTGCCTCTAAAAGGTTTTCAACAAAAAGGAGACCACATGGCTTCCTTAGGAAATGTTGAAAGTCACCTGGTCTGACCCTTGCACACACTGTTGAGGACACTGGGGGCCAGAGACGGTAGGTGGTTTGTGTTAGGCTACACAGCCAGCAGGGCCAGGAAGGGCATTTGGGAAGGAAGACAGGATGCCAATGGAACCCAATGGGAAAGCACCTGCCTCCATGCTAGAGTGCCAGCGGCAGCCCTGACTGATTGTGCCAAACTGCAGCACCACCCCCAGGCCCCTGAGTAGGGCTCTCTGTGCATAAAGACAAGCATAACAAATAAGCACCACATGTACTCACCATCAAATTGATATTAACTGATCAACACTTAAGTGTGTATGTAGTAGTAACATTCATCAGGTGTCAGGCAGATGCGAGGGGGGAGGAGGGGCTGGGTATATACATACCTAACGGGTGTGGTGTGCACCGTCTGGGGGATGGACACGCTTGAAGCTCTGACTCGGGTGTGGCAAAGGCAATATATGTAACCTAAACATTTCCCATTGGGTCCCATTGCCATCCTGTCTTCCTTCCTCACCTTGGCATCTGTCTCCCTGTATGGCTGCTTTCCTCGTTGCAGAGACAAGTTTAACCCACAAGAGAGAGTGGAGGCAGACTGGGCTCCTCCTTTTCTCTTGCATTCCAGTCTGTCAAGAAATCCAATTAGCTCTTTCCTCAAATTCTATCCACAGCTGAGCACCTCTCAAACCCTCCAGGGCTTCTCCTACCCTGCTCCCTGGCAGGACCTCCACCACCTCCCAGGATTGCCGCGAGGCCCTCCTGAGCCTTCTCGCTCCCTTCACCGTCGCCTCGCCTACAGTCTGTTTTCTAGGCAGCCATCAGAGTGACCAAGAAAACACGGCAGGTCACGTCAGGCCTCTGACCAAAACCCTCCAAAGCTCACACTGCGCTCTGCCCAGGCGCAGAGCTTGTCACCATGGCACGCTGGCCCTCCGTGGTCCATGTGGAGGCCCTGCCTCCCTGCGTCTCCCTGAACGCGCTCACACTCTGAATCCTGCCTCACTCTCGCTGTGCAAACCACACCGACCTCCTCGCTCCCGGTGGGAACACACAGCTCTGTTCCCACCCTGGGCCTTTACACTGGCCCTTTCCTCGCTCTGCATGGCTCGTCCCCTTACCTCCTCAAAACCTTTGCCCAAATGTGGTCCACTCATGAAGCCTACTGCAAACACCTTAGCAAAATTGTACCCACTCTTTCTCCCAGCCCTCCTGATTCCCCTTATCCTGTTTCTTTCTGATTTTCTAGCACTTTTTACCATCAAATATATGATGTATTAAGTTTATCATTCATCTCTCCCACTGGAATGTAAACCCACGAAAGTAGGCATCTTTGTCTGTTTTCTTCACTGGGATATTCCAAGCTCATGGAAGGATGCCTGACATGTAGTAGGTGCTCAGTAAATACTAGCTGACTGAAAGAAAGGTAAAAAATAGAGACTAGCATGAGACAATCCCTCGCACCCCAGAGCATCGTTTTGAATTCCGGTTTCTATTTTGCTTCTCTGGTTTAGTGTGCTCACCACGCGGGAGCCTCTAGCTTTGGACTCAACTCTTTTCCACACCGGTTAGAGTTAGCGCAGGGGTTGTGTTTCCACAGCTAGCAAGCAGCAGTGCAGCCATGTGGCCACAGGAACAGAGGGCTGGACTAAGTCGTTTCCTTACAGTATCGGATTTATAGGGTGTCTCCCTGGGCCTCCTCTGCTGTCTTGGTCACCCTTGGAGCTCTGTCCTGCAGATGCAGAAGCAGGGCCCACATCTCACACTGGCGCTCCCTTGGGCTGGGCTGGATCCTCCCTGTGGATCCATCCCTACATGCTGCTCATAGCATGTGATTCTGTTCCCATGTCTTCCTCCTGTGAGGAATGTGTGTATGTGTGTGTGTGTATATGTGTGTGCATGCAGGTGCGATAGATAGAGACACACACACACCAGGAACACCCCCTCCCATCTCTCCTGTTATGTTTGGCTCTTTTCTTGTGCCCCTTCCCCCAGCCTTTTCTCCAAGAGGGAGTTCTGGAAGATTATTATTCTTTTTTTTAATTTTTTTAAATTTCAGCATATTACAGGGGTACAAATGTTTAGGTTACATATATTGCCTTTGCCCCACCCAAGTCAGAGCTTCAAGCAAGTCCATCCCCCAGACGGTGCGCACTGCACCCATTAGGTGTATATATACCCATCCCTTCTGCCCTTCTCCCATCCGCCCGACACCCGATGAATGTTATTACTATATGTGCACTTAAGTGTTGATCAGTTAATACCAATTTGATGGTGAGTACATGTGGTGCTTATTTGTTATTCTTGTCTTCATACACAGAAGGTCCTACTCAAGGGCTCGTGGCGGAGTGCAGTTTGGCACGATCACAGTCAGGGCTGCCGCTGGCGCTTTAGCATGGAGGCAGGTGCTTTCCCATTGGGTCCCATTGCCATCCTGTCTTCCTGGGCATGGCACAGAAAGGTCCTGTGAGATGGGTGGGAGTCAGGGTGAGCAGCTCCAGCCAGGGGCCTTGGCATGGTGGAGCAGCTCACGCGCTGGGTAATGTCTCCAGGAAGCAGGTTTGTGTCATGGCTCTGCCGGGTGACTCTGCAACCCACCTCTGCTCTCCCCCCAGATCATACCACCCTCTAGCACTTGGCTTTAGTCCTGCCTCCTCTGTGACCCTCCAGCCAGCTGTGAGTGTCCCTCCTCAGAAGGCCGAGAGCTAGCCATGTGTGCCTTTTACGCAGTAAATCATCTTTCCCTCTCTTGCTATGGCTCTTTCCTGCCTCAGGTCTCCCCAGTGAGGTCCAGGCTCCTCCCAGGCAACCTGGCCACCTCACCCTATTTCCCTCGACATGTAGATTAGGGCCTGTTCTGGGGGGACCTCAGCACTTGCCTGCCTAGTGAAGGAAACTCCTCCAGGCTGCTCCCGACACCTACTGGACGTGGCACAGAGTGGAGGCTCCATTGGTCCTTGTGGACCAGATGGAGGAGCTCTCCAGATACCGGCCACTCACTCCTGCGTCCAGTCTGTTCAATTCAACCAGCGCTTCCTGAGGACCTCGTGTGCTAGTTGCCAGGGGGATGCAAGGGTGAATAGACAGGACTCCTGCTCTCAGGGGCAACACAAATTCGGTGACTATGCTATGGAGCTCTGGGTTGAGTTAAGGGGAGGCACAGGGCAGGTTTGCACTCTGCCTGGAAGGGGTGGGCCGGTGGGACCTTCATGGGACTTAGGACCTTTGTTTGGAGTGTCAAGAATGTGCTGGCCCAAGCCTCAGCTTACCCAGATGAGATAACAATCCCTGGTCCACTCACAGGTTTGGAGGGGAATTAGGGGCTTGATAGATGTGAGGTCGGGGAGGCAGGGGCAGGTGCACCGTGATGCAGGGCGACGTGCCTATTAAAAGAGACAGGTCTCAGCTTTCCTCTCAGTCTGCCTAGTGGGAGATTCCCACGCCCATAAATGGCATCAATAACTTTCCCCTGCCTTTTAAGTTGTTGGCAGGCCTGTGTTCTGCCCAGTGAAAGGCAGGAGCAATAACAGGTCTCCTGCGTGTCACCGTGTCATCCTTCCACCTGCTCCACGTTCCTGAGACCGTCCTGCAGAGCAGAGGCATGGCGAGCCGTTCCTACTGCTTCAGCTCCAGCTGCCGGGTCAGGAACTTCAGCTCCTGCTCCGTCGTCACGCCCAAGCCTGGGGCTTGCAGCTGCAGCAGTGCCATGGCTCATTGTGGGGGCAGTCCTGGGGGGCTGGGCTACAGGTGCCTCGGAGGCTTTGGCAGCGGGAGCCTGTGTGCAGTGGGGTCCCCCCACATTGTGGTGAGTTGTGCACGGCCCCTACACAGCGGACCCAGCTTTGGCTATTGGGCAGGGGGCCTTTGCAGGCCCAGCCCCCCTGTATCATGACTGTGACAGTCGACGAGACCCTCCTCATGCCCCTCAACCTGGAGATCGACTCCAACGCGCAGTGCGTCAAGCACGAGGGGAAGGAGCAGATCAAGTGCCTCAACAGCAAGTTCACTGCCTTCATCGACAAGGTGGGTCTGTGTGATGTTCCCTCGGGGGCTGTGGCATAGGAAACAGTAAGGGACTTGGAACTTGATGACGGGTTGGGTTCAGCTTCTCCTGCTACTGACTAGCACGTGGCCTTGAGAATGTGGCTGAATCAGGGCCTTGGTTTTCAAATGTTGCCATGAGGGTCAACCGCTATGACGGATGTGAACCACCAGACAGAAGCTGCTGCTCACATGCCCAGCTGGAGCTGAGCGTGGTCTGTGGCCCACCTTCTGGATCTCAGCCATCACACAGCAGGAGGGTGTGGGTGGGGCGGGCAGCTCTGCCTACGCTGGTGTCTGACCTGCTTAGAGGAGATGCTGCCACCCCTGGATGGAGGGGGAGCCAGGATGAAGAGGGGCCAGAGGCTCCTGTCCTGCTCCTTCTTGGTGGGGACATCACAGGAAGGCTGAAATCCTCAGGACTCCTGCCCAAGGCACCTTCCAGCCCCCAACACTCGTACAGATTAAAGGCAGCGAGTTGAGAAACTTAGGGGATGGCTCATGGAATCGCATATTTCTGATGTTGCAGTTTCTGAGTCCTCCTGGTTAAGTATATAGCTCTGGTTTCCTTGACCTAATCATGCACATCTGAGAGCTCACTGGGGGAGTACAGCAACTGAAGCCCAAGGGAGGAAAGGCTCATCTTCCAGGGCTGAATGCTGTGTGCGTATACGTCCAGGGACTGTGTAAGAAGGCACACACCAGGGTGATGGTCTCAGACCAACACCACCATCAGAAATGGGCTTATCTGTGCACAAAGGTGCTGGACATCCACTCTTACTTAACATACTGCCAGCTGTCCAGACCACTGTCCCCTTCCACTGACACAAAGAAGCTGACTGTAGAGTTATGCAGGTTGTTCGCTGCACAAGGACACCCACCAAGAGTGGGGTAGGTTAAAATCCAGCCCATGCTTTGCTTGCTGGGCTGTGTGCCCTGTCAGGGGGCTGCATCTGCCTGGAGAGAGCATCTTTTTCTAGTTTGCTCCAAAGCACAGTGAGGGCCACGAGTGTGCAGACACAAAGGGATCTTTGCACAGGCCCTTTTGGGCATCACCATGGATGCTGCTCTCTCTGTTGAGATGCATCAGTGCTGGGACTGGGGAGAAGGATTCACACCAGGCTGGCTTTCCCCTCCCCTGGGGTTGCTGACGGCCACCCACTCCCCTCCAGCATCCTTCCTGCAGGCTCCAGACTGCACTGAGCTCCAGGCTGCAGCCTGCATTGGTGTGGTGGCTTTAGTCCTGCCGAGCAGCAAGCCAGAGGGCTGCCCCATAACCTGGGTCCATGTGCTGCTTTTTGGACAATCAGGGTTTTGGTGCCTTTTGTCACAAGCACAGACAGTTGAGCGTTCTTTATACCAGGCATGTACTCCCTGGAGGTTAGGGCTTGAGAGGATACCACCTACTTTAGGGCTGGTAACTGGAAACATTGATGGTAGCCTGGCAGGTTGTGAGAATGAAGCCAATTGGAGAGGCGTGTGCACCTAGAGGGCGCATGCCTTCGCACAGCGGGAGGATGGGGGTGGGGTGGGCAGCTCTGCTTAGGCTGGTGTCTGACCTCCCTTAGAGGAGATGCTGCCGCCCGGCATGGTGGGGGAGCCAGGACAAAAGGGGGCTGATATTGCCAGAGCTTCCAGCTTGTCAAGAAGGTCAGAGAGATCCAGCTTCTTGCCTGAGATCATTCAATTATTAAATGTTGGCAACTAACCAGATCTTTATATAACAGTGTGCAGGACAAATAAAACATACCTGTGGCCTGATAGGGCTTGGGGGCTGCCAGTGTACCATTGCTGATGTACTCCTCCTGCCTCAGTTTACAGTGAGATGCGGAGAAAATGAGGCAAAGTGGCCTGGTTGGTGGCAAAGTTAGGAACAAGTTCTGATTCCTGCTCTGAAGTCCCCTTCTTGGGCTCTAGTGCCCCCAGATCAGAGTGAGGGAGAATCATTGTGGGCTCATTTTTAAACTGCTGCCATACAAACGCAGCAGCTTAAAACAACAAAAATTTATTATCTCATGAGGCTGACATCAAGGGCTGCATTTCTTTCTGGAGGTCCTAGAGGACCATCTGTTTCCAGGGACAGGAAGGCTTTGGCAGAATCGAGTTCCTTGTGGGTGCAGGACTGAGGTCCCTGTTCCCTTGCTGGCCGGCTGCCGGGGGTTGTACTCAAGTTTGTAGAGGCCACCCACATGCCTTGGCTTGTGGCCCCCTCTTCTTCCATCGTCAAAGCCAATAATAGTGGACCGAGTCCTTCTCATGTTTCAAATCTCTTTTCTGCCTCCTTCTTCTGAGCACCTCTCTCACTCTTCTGCCTGCCTCTTCCACTTTGAAGGGCCCGTGGGTCTACCTTGAGCCCACCTGGATAATCCAGGATAATCTCCCAATCTTCAGGTCCATAACCTTAATTCCATCTGCAAGATCCCTTTTGTTATGTAATACAACACATCCCAAGTTCCAGGGACTGGAGCATGGACATATTTGGGGGGGTCATTATTTGCCCTACCACATACAGTCTGAAATATTTCTGTAGGATCAAATGTTATTTCATACCATGCAGAATAAACAAATGGCTGCAGATTGTGTGCTCTTTCTGGGAGATGGGGATGGGTGGGGAATATTTGTGACCTGCACTTTCAGACTTTGTCAATGATTTGGCTTCTTGGGGAAGATCAGAGGCTGCTGCAGGGCAGGGGGCATCCCCAAGGGCAGAGACAGAGCTCTGGGGGACCAGGAACCCCCGTACCAGGCTTCCCCCGAGTCTCTTTTCTCCTTCCTGAATGGCAGGTGCGCTTCCTGGAGCAGCAGAACAAGCTGCTGGAGACCAAGTGGCAGTTCTGCCAGAACCCCGAGTGCTGCGAGAGCAACGTGGAGCTGCTGTTCAACGGCTACATCGAGACGCTGCGACAGGAGGCAGAGTGCGTGGAGGCCGATAGTGGGAGGCCGGCCTCGGAGATCAACCATGTGCAGGAAGTGCTGGAGGGCTACAAGAAGAGGTGAGCATGACAGGGCTGGAGTGGCTCTAGGGAGAGGAGTAGGTCTTAGCTGAGGCCACACAATTCCCCCAGAGGTGAAGACGGCCAAAGGTCAGGGTCCTCTCAACCAGCTACCAGATGGTTCTGCTTTATCTGTTTGTCTCAGCTCCCAGCTCTTGCAGCCCCATTCTAGTACTGTGGAAAGATCTGGAGAGCAGAAAAGCTCCAAGTCTGGAAGGGATGAGACACACATCCCGGGAACAGACTGACACAGAGATGAAGAGAGAGGAACAAATGAGACAGGAGGACCAAGACCAACAGGGCTGGAGAGCAGGACCCCGGAGCAGTCAGCGCTTGGATGGGTGGAAAGGGAAAGGCCCTGGACAGGTATCTTGAAAATGAGCTGGCTGATGCCACTCAAAGTATCTGATGAACTTGGATTATTCCTTATTTACTCTGCAGATAAAGCATCAGACTTTTGTTCTGCAGGGCTCCACATTCAAATGTCCATGTCGATCTTTTGTTTTAGCCTGAGTTGCTTAGTTTGGCCATTACCTATTCTAATCTCCTTGGGTCACTGTTAACTTGCCCCTTTTTACTTTGTAAATATGGACAGGGTGAATAGAGATTTTGACATTAATCGATCCTTGTAATTCCAACCCTCCCGGGTATTCTTGAAACATCCGATTTTCCTATCCAGATGGACTTGGCAGTGGGTCTTCACTTCCCTTGGGAGTGAAGCAAAAGCAGACACAGTTCTCAGTGTGCAGGGATAAAGGGCTGTGCCCACTCTGGGGGTGTGAGGGTGGTAATGATAGAGCTGAGAGTTTATTGCAGCCCAAATTACCCTGTAATTAACAAGTTGTAAAAACCGTGCTCTGGGAACTCCGGTCTTTGTTGGGGCAGAACTGCTCCAGGGACAAGGTCTCACTGGCAAGAAGGATGGGGCTAGGCTGGTCCAGGAGGGTTGGAGAAATGCCCCTGAACAGTGGGTTGCTCCCAGGAATTCAAGTCCTTGGATATTGGGGCAGAATAGAACTTCATAGGGAATGGCTTCATAGAGCTTTAAGTGTTGTACAATTCTATAGTTGAAAGGCTTCCTTGGAACATCTCTCTGTCTTTTACTCATCCCACAAATATTGACTGAATGCCCCACTGCTCACCAGATGACTTAACCAAAGATGCAGAGAGAGTAAATGACTTGCCTCATGTTTTGGAGTGACTTCAGTTCAAGTTCAGTGTCCTTTTGATGCGTTCTTTGGCTGGGAAACAGAAGCCCGGAGAGATGAAGCTTCTTCTCCAAAGGCACACAGAAAGTAAGGGGAACACCAGGGAGTTTTGCAGACCTGGGCTCTGGCTGTCAGCCCAGGGCCCTCAGTCCCGGGGTCCTTTCCACCTGGGTTGTCTCTCCTCAGGTATGAAGAAGAGCTGGCTCTCAGGGCCACGACAGAGAATGACTTCGTGATGCTGAAGAAGGTAAGTGACTCTTCCCACATAGGGAGAGTTAAATTTTGGACCAGACACTCTGATACTGGGTGCCTGTCATGTTCCCATCAGTCCAGTTGGTGGTAGCAAGGCACTCAAGTCCCCTGGCAGATGAAGGTGGGTGGATTGGCTGCAAGGCCATCTTGGCCCCGACGTGGGAACCCAGACTGTGCTGATGTAGCTTTGTAAAAAGAAAACATCATGCTGCTGCTTGGTGTTTTGTAAACTACCTGGTTGGCCGAAATGTTCACTTTTACATCTGTTTTGCTCTCATGTGGACAATGCCTCCTCCCATCATGCCCACTGGGGGTTGGTTCTTAGCTTGCTAATGATTTATGAGTGTGGCCATCATTCAGTGCAATTGGAGATGAGGGGAAAGAAAAAAACAACAGAGGAAAAAAATTGCTAATGATTTCCCTTCGGTTTCAAATTGGTGGGTACAAGTGCATGGGAATGTTCTTTAACAAACAATGTGCTTCCCAGCCACCGTATTTGTGAGTAACCACAGCCTTGAGAGAGGGCTGGTAACAGATCTGCCAATAGAAGCTGACTTTGGTCTCAGGCAGGAGACCAGCTGTCTGGGTGGTTGGGTGCTGCCTGACCTGGGCTCGGAGGACGACCTGTGGAGAGGCTCTGTTGACTGCCACCTGTTCATGCTCTGTGGGTCATTCCACTGAGAGGCAGCAGCCTGCTGTTCTGGGCTGTGCCTTCTTCGGCAAGGTCCTCAGTTCTGGAGGGGTCAGAATTCTCTCTACTTCCTGTCTCCAAGGGTGTCTCATGACATTTATGCGATGGGAGGTAATGTCAGTGGCAGAGAACAAAGGCCTTATCCCTCCCTGGGGGGCCCTGAAGGTGAAGATGAGAAGTCCAGGTTAGACTTATAAGTGCAGGGTGGCTGGGCAGGGGTGGGCCCGAGGCAGCAAGGTGGGCCAGGAGATGGCCTCAGGGCCCGCTGTGGGGTGTGAAGAGTCTCAAGGGCACAGAAGGGGAGACAGAGCCCACTCCCCATCGTCTCCCGTCTGTCTGCACCAGGACGTAGACTGTGCCTATCTGCACAAGGCGGACCTGGAGGCCAACATGGAGGCACTGAGGGAGGAGACTGTCTTCCCGTGGTCTCTCTACCAGGAGGTAAATCTCTCCCCATCTCTGGAGGGGCAAGTCAGGGAAGTAGGTGGAGGAGGGTCTTCTCCCGGTGTGGCCTGTCCTGGTTCCTGGGTTCCAGGGAAAGCCATGCATTCGTTATTCTCCTAGGGCCTGGACATCTTTCCTTCTGTGACCAGAGGGGATTTTTCTCTTGTTCAGGCCTCCTTTCAATGGAAGTGGGTGATGTTCTTCCTTTAAGATTATTTGAAAGAATGTGATTAATTGCCCATCTACACAGCACAACATGAAATGGAGATTTGACAATTACTTTATTAATTCAGGTAGTGTAAAAACCTAAGTGGATAATCCAGGACTCTAACTGTGACCACTATCTGGATGATTTGATTATAAAGATCTGTCCAGCTGATCTGGACAGTTCAGAGCCCAGAGTGGAGAGATGGGTGGTTTGTCTGCATACACTGTTTCCCTGGATCCAGGCATTAGTGGAATTCCCCCTTACTCATTTCCCGGAGGCCATAGGCCTAATCCCGGCCTTTTCCTCTTAAAGCTACAGTTTTAAAATTTTCCTGACTTGCTGATAGTTTTCTAATTTCTTTCCCGAGGTTTCAGAGTTGGGACTGTTTTTTGAATTACCTAGGGAGAGGGATTAGAGCGGGATTTGGAACTGAGGGCACTGGTTGATGTCCCCTGCAGGAAATTCGCCTCCTTCAGTCACAAATCTCTGATACCGCGGTGGTGGGTGACAGCCTGGGTGACAGAGCAAGACCCTGTCTCAATTAAAAAAAAAAAAAGTAAAATTAGAGAAGTTGTCCCCATAACAATTCTGCTCTTGCTCATTTGCATTCTGACATGCTTTCTTAAGTGGGGCAAAAGGGAAGGGCTGTAACTGGTGTGTTAGGAGTTGTCGCAAATGGGAACTTCTTTAAGGGCCAAAGAATGAGACTCTATACATACAGTAGCCTCTGAAAACCTGGGCTTGGCACTAATTAATTGGGTAGCCTAGGGCAAGGCACAGCCTCTGTGAGTCTCAATTTCTTCATCTGCATAGTGGGAATAATAATGCTTGTTCTGACAAGCTCAGAACAACTTTGAAGGTCAAATTAGATAACATCTGCGAAAGTGCCTTGTAAACTAACAACGGTATACAAATATATGGTAATATCACTAATTATTATTAGTCCTATTCCAGTGCTAACACTTCCTCCCTCAAGTGAATTCTACAATAAAGTGGTATAAAAATGAAGGAAAAAAGCTCCAAGTGAGCTATTATTTCCCTGCCTACTTAATTTTCCATTGATGTATTTCATTTAAATAGTAGAAATTTCAAAAGTTGACCATTGTGAATAAAGGCGAAATAGGATGACCAAGACCACTGGGAACTGACCAGGGTCCCCGCAGCCTGTACCCTTTCCAAACTCATTCCCCACAGCGCTGTAAGCTGGAGGCGGCTGTGACCCAGTCTGAGCAGCAGGGCGAGGTGGCCCTCAAGGATGCCCGCTGCAAGCTGGCTGAGCTGGAGGCCGCCCTGCAGAAGGCCAAGCAGGACATGGCCTGCCTGCTCAAGGAGTACCAGGAGGTGATGAACTCCAAGCTGGGCCTGGACGAGGAGATCGCGGCTTACTGCAAACTGCTGGAGGGCAAGGAGAGCTGGTGAGGACGGGGAATCCGGGGTCCCTTCACATCCCCACTCAGGCTGGTCTATAATCTTCCAGGTAGAGAACTGGGAAAGACTCTAGATATCATGGAGTCCAACCATGTCCTCATTTACAGACAAGGAAACAGATCCAGAGGGGAAGGGGCTTGCCCAGGAGCACAGCCAGTTAGTGGCTAAGCTGAAGTGACGCCCACCTCCTGCCTGGCCACCAGTGCTCTTCTCCCTCCTGCTCTGTCCCTTGGGCTGGAACCTACAGCTCATTCTCAGGCAACTGCTTTACTCTGTGGTCAGCCTCAGGGGGCTCTTAAAGTTGAAATCATTCAGAAAATTAGTTAAAGGCCATTTGATTTGGGATACACAAAGGATCCTGTCAACCTAGATAGGCTGGTGATCAGGACCAGGGGATAGACCACAGGTTCTTGCCTTGCAGCAGAGGACAGGGGCAGACATAAATCAATCCTCCAGGGGGCTGGGGTTAGTGGCCAGGGAGGCTGTTGGGAGGCTTCTCAGAGGAGGAGGCAGAAGAGCTGAGGGCGTGGGAAAGAGATAGGACACTTCAAGCTGTGCTGACAGTTTGAGCCAGGAATTGGGGGCAGTGAAGTCAGCCTGGGAGGCACCATGTGGATTTACACCTGGGCTGGTGCATGGCCTCTGGCCTTGAGGTGCCACATCACTGGAGCTCCTCCTGGCTCCCACCAGAGGGGCAGGCCAGGCAGGGGAGTAGAGCATAGCAATGAAGAGCAGAGACCACAGGTAAGTCACCTGGGTTCAAATCCCAGCCCTGCCACTTACTAGCTATGTGACCTCTTCATACCTCAGGGTCCTCAACTGTAAAACCAAGATGATCATAAAACCCACCTCTTGAAACTGTTGCAGGATTAAATGAGTTTTAATGGGACATAGTACACACCAGTAGAAGCAGGGTATTATCATAATGAGAATATCTCTCGCCAAGGTGGCCAGGCAGAGCTATACTCGCAGAGAGGCCCCTCATTATTGAGGTTGGCTTTAGAAATCCGCCACGAAGATGCACCCCGGGCAGCCGGGCCCTGCTGCTGGATCTACCCCATGCTGGACCAAAGCAGGTGAACCTTTCTGTCAGTTTCCTCAGGGCTACAGGTGAAGCCACCAGAGCTTCCTTTCGACCAGTAAGTCCCCAACCCACTCACTAGCATTCAATAAGGCACTTGGCATTTGCACTGTGACACTTATGTTCATATGATAATACTAATTAGTTAATAACTCAGTCAAATAATTATTGGTGCACTGTCCCCAACACGTGATTTTCAAAGGCAGTTTAGTGAATTGCGTTGTATGCATTGTGGCCATTGACCTTTTAATAGACAGCCTCCTCTCGGCGTTTCACAGGTTTAGTTTAATTACACATGTAATGCTCATTGCAGCAAATGCAGAAAATAGGAAAACAAAAGCAGCCACAGTCACTCAACTCAGAGACAGTTGCTGCCAGCATTGTGAATTAACAGGCACCATAGTGGGCATTGGCTGGAATCTTCCGGAAGGGCACAGTCCTAAGGCTGTGGCAAAGTCAGAGTAAAGTGCCAGGAAAGCGAGCCAGATGCATACATCCCCATCCAAAAGATGAAGAGTAAAGAAGTGTTCTGAGCTGGGCAGAATGAATCGGAGGAGAGCTTTCCTGGGAAGACAGGCTTGAAGCTGGGAGTTTAAAAAGGGGAAACGTAGAACAGAAAGTGCAGGTACGTGAGAGAGAGGAGGGAGCATTTATGCAAAACCAACTCTAGTGGTATAAATAGCTCACCATCAATGAGATGTCTATAATGTTGATAGCAAACACTTACATTGGATTTACTTACTACGTGCTGGTCTCTATTTTACACGTAGAACTCAGTCATACCTTACAGCAATCCTATTAGGCGGGTATTATCTTCTCCATTTTATGCTGGGAAAATTGAGGCACAGAAAGTTTAAGTGACTTGCCCGAGGTTACCCAGCTAATAAGTGGCACAGCCAGATTTGAGTCCAGGCAACCTGGCCTGAGAGCCCAGTTTCTTAACCACCATTACCCTCCAGCCTCCCTCTGTATTTAATGAAATCAGTTGGATGTCTGGGATAGTATTTAAAATCATAGGATAAAAATGTGTTAGTTTGTGCTTAAGCCAAGGAGTTCAAGGATGAAGTGTGCTATGATCATACCTGTGAATATGTGCTGCACTCCAGCCTGGGCAGCACAGTGAGACCCCCACCCTATTTCTCAAAAAAAAAAAAAAAGAGTCAGTTCGAGTGATAAGCAAACTTTTCCTGCTCAGAGGTGTCCATCTAGCTAGACAGTAGTGGCTCCCATCACCTCTTTGGCTTTGCTGGCATTTCCAGCAGAGGGACAAGGAAGATGCCCCTCATCTTACTTCCAGCCGAGTTTATACTGGCGGTTGTTTGGAATTTTATTGCATTTTCATGCTTCCTGTACAGCTCCTTTCTTTTGATGTGCTTCATTAAATATTGATGGCCAAAGGCTGTTTCTTAGTAACCAAGTTAATGCTGCCTCCTTCATTGTTTTCCCCACCCACCCACAGCCCTGACGTTTGGTGCTTCTCAAGATGCAGTCCAGGGACCACCACCTGCGTCAGGGCCCCGTGGGTAGTTGGTAAATGCGCAGATCCTGGGTTCCATACGGAACCACTGGATCAGGAGTTCTAGGGATGAGCCCAGGAATCTATTTTAACAAGCTCCCAGTGATTCCTGTAAGAACTAAAATTAGAGGACCACGGGTTTGTGTGGGCAGAGGGAAGAGGGGGCCAGGCAATTCTGGCCGGGGTGGTGACTTTCCCTGTGCTTCCCACAGGGTCACATTAGCCCCTTTGCGCTTCTCCTTTGTCTTTGCTGAAAGGTCAGAGCCACAGACTGGGCCATGTGCACACCGGGGCGGGGTGGGGCAAAGGTACAGGAGGGGAGAAGAAGGGGATCTGTATTTATTAAGCGCCTGCTAAGTGTCTGGGGCACATTGTACATGTATTTCATTCATTTCTCCCAGCAACAGTATTATTATCCTCATTTTAGAGATAAAGAAATTAAGGCTCAAAGAAGTAACTTTACTAAGGTGACACAGCTTGTCCACAATTCAAAGTCAGGTCTAGGGAATGTCAGTGTGCATAAGCTTTTCCCACCGCATTGCTCTAACCGTCCCTTAGGCTTAACATTCTGGCTGCTAGAACCTCCTGGAGTTCTGCCTGGTGCAGCTTTACCAGTTGTCCGACACTTCAGACATAAGAGATGGAAGGTGACTTGGCCTCCTGGAAGCATTTGTAGAAACATCTCTCGGTAGCCTCTGCTCCCCAAGAACTCGGACAGATCTTATCATGGGGCGGTTAATACGGGCCTCTTGTATGGAATCCAGAACTGAAACCCAGACCTCTGGTTGGAGGGTGTTTGCTGGGGTGGCCCGGACAGAGGCGGTGGATCGGTGAACTCTGTCTCTGGCCTATTCCTGCACTGACAGTCTGGGGAAGACCTACCTAGGCAAGCCTGTTCAAAGTCCCCTCTGATGCAGGCTGTCCCGCCCTGGATGTGATGAACGGGGGACACAGGTTTCTGGTGCTTAACTCTCTTTCATTTGATATACAGGAAGACCTCTACTTCTCTCACTTTATTTTATTTGGAATGCTTTAAAAAAAAGATTTTAAAAAAGGCCTGACTGGATAGAAGATATTTTGCCACAAGAATACATATGTATTCTCAAGACAAAAAAAAGCCTCTAAAATTTTTTTTTTTAATTTAAAAAAATTTTTTCCTCACTCCCCCACACGCCCTAAAATTTCCGTTTTTTCGTTTCTTCTGCTCGCTCACAGCCACCAGCCACCAGGTGCCCCTCTCCACAGCCCTGCAGACTGTCGCGGCGTCCCGGGGCTGGGGGCGGGGCCTGGGCAAGGAGGGCCAAGCCCCCCGCCGGGACCCACCAAGGACCGGCGACCCCCGAAAGTCTTTAAACTGCCACACTCAGACGCGCTAGGTACCTGGACAGCTGGGGGCAGACGGGGAGGGGGCTGGCAATCCCACCTCTACCCGCCTCCCGGGCCACCGGGCGTTAAGACCGCAGCGCTACTTGCAGGTGACAGGGCTATCCCGGCGCCACCAACAACCCGCAAGCACCCTACCCCTCAACGGCAGGAGAGCAGTGCGCCCAGCTTTCCCTCCGCGCTCCTCCCTGCACCCTCTCACCAGGGAGGGTGGGGCTCACGGCGCTCCCGGGCAGAGGGCAAAGCCCCACAAGGCTCCCTCCCGGGCGTTTCAAAGAGACGGTGGGTGGCGGGGCGGATCTGGGCGGACTGCAGACAACTGGGGACCATCGCAGGTGGTGCAGGAGGCGGGAACCCTTCGAGAGCCAGAGCTTCCAGGCCCCGCAGACCGGATCCCAGGGCTCTGCCAGGGCACCGCCTGATTTTCTCTGATGAAGGTGTTAGTTTGTGATGTTTCAAAGGAGACGGGCGCCCAGGAAAGAGACCCGACCACTCCCATCGGCCCACTTTATTGTGTGGGCGCTTGCTCTTCTGGCTTTTCTTTGATCTCTCAATTGCACTTGACTTCTTTAAAATTTGTCTTTCTAATAAAACTTGAATCTTTAGTTACCCTTGTATTGTACGTTTGGCCTGCTGTGAGAAAGAGATCATTCATCAGGAGAGAGCTGCAGGAGCCCAGGACCCTCCCAACCACAAGAGCACAATCCGGACTCCTGCGGTGGGTCTCCAGGAGGGCTGGGGGAAAGGTTTGTGTCCTCATAAGCCAAAGGCTCCTTTGGTTGGCTGGTCTTTGCACACAAAGCATGGAAATGTATTAAAAAGCTGATTAACATCTCCCAGATTCTGTCTGTTTAATTTTTCAATGTGTGATGTTATTATTTTTTGGGCATCATCAGATTTGGTATTTTAGTTTTGCTTGGCCCAGACCCATGGTAACGTCAAGTTGTCTTCCCCAAGCAGATTCCCTTCAGCATCCTAGAACCACAGGAGGTGGCAGGGCTGCGAAGGGGT